CCTTTTCTTTTGTTAGGGTTGGCAAAGGTTTGTCAATTTTATCAATCCTTTCAAAGAACTAGCTTCTTGTCCTGTTGATTCTTTCTATAGTTTTTCTGTTTTCTATCTCGTTTATTTCTACACTAATATTTATTTCTTTTCTTCTGGTGACTATAGGTTTATTTGGTTGGTCTGTTTCTAATTGTTGAAGATGTTGTGTTAATGTGTTGATTTTGGTTATTCTTTTTGGATGTGTACATTCTTTGAAATAAATTGTCCTCTCAGCACTGCTTTTGCCATGCCCCATAGATTTTGGTACATTGTGTTTTCATTCTCATTTGTTTATAGCAATTTTGTGACTTCACCTTTTATTTGTTATACTACCCAGCAGCTTTTAAGCAAGGTGTTATTCAGTTTCCATGGATTTGACTTTATTTCCTTTGTCTTCCTATTGTTAATTTCCAATTTTACAGCATTGTGATCTTAGAAGATATTGGTAGTATTTTGATGTTTGTAAATTTATGAAGGCTTGTTTTGTGGCCTAACACATGGTATATTCTGGAGAATGTTCCATTTGCACTGGAAATGAATGTATATTGTGCTGCTGTTGGGTTGAATGCTCTGAGGTCAAGTCGGTTGACTGTGTTGTTTAGTTCCTTAATGTCTTTGTTGGGTTTCTTTCTGATTGTTCTATCCTTTTCTGAAAGTGACATACTAAAATGTTATTGCAGGTCTGTCTATTTCTTTCTTCAATTCTATTAGGGTTTACTTTATATATTTTGGGGCATTTGCAATGGGAGCACAGATATTTATAATGGTTATGTCATCTTGTTCAATTGACTCTATAATCATGAGATAATGTCCTTCTTTATATCTCTTATGCTTTTTTTTTACCTTAAAGTTTATCTTTTTACCTTAGTTTATTAGTACTGTCACACCTGTTCATTTTTACTGCAATTAGCTTGTTATATATTTTTCCATCCTTTAATTTTTAATCTGTTTTTGTCTCTTTGTGTGTCTCTTGTAGACAGCATATTGAAGGATCTTGTATTCTTATCCATTCTGCCACTCTTTCTCTTAACTAATGCCCTATTTTGGGCATTAGTTAATGTAATTCATTGACATTCTGTATAATTATCGATAGGTATGAATTAATCGCTGTCATTATGGTTTTTTTGGTAGTGTTGCTGGGTTCTTTATTTTACATGCCTTCCTGTTCTGAGTTCATGTTTTTTTGTGCTCGTTCTTGTCATTTTCTTCATAGTTTTAATGTTTCCATGTTCTTGGATTTTCATTTTCTTGATATGTTGTAAAGTATTAATTTTGAGGTTACCCTATATTCTAATAACTTTTCCTCCATTTAAAACAGTCTACTTTATCCTGCAATCTGCTTGACCTCATCACCTGGATCTGTTCCTATATTTTGACATTCTTTCACACTGTAATTATTTTGATCATAGACTGACCTCCCAGATCCTCTGAATTCTTTCTTGTAGTTTTATTCTGTTCTGGACTCTTTCTTCTGTTGAAGAGTTCCAGATGGTGCTGCCATATATGTCAATCTCTGGTTGTTGTCTGTTCATGTTGGTTCTCAGTCCAAAGAACTCCCTTCAGGATGTTTTTAAACACTGGGTTGGCTTTCACAAAGTCCCTTAGATTCTGTTTATGATTGAATGTTTTTATTACACAGTGGTATTTGATTGACAGCTTTGCTGTATAGACAATTCTTGGTTGGCAGTTGTTTTTTTCTTTCAGAGTTTTATATATGTCTCCCCATTGCCTTCTTGCCTACATGGTTTCTGCTGAGAGATCTGAGGTTAATATGATTTGCTTGACTTTGTAAGTAACACTTCTGTTTTCCCTAGCTGTTTTCAGGATTCTCTCCTTGTTTTTGATTTTGGAGAGCTTGATTATGATATGTCTTGGTGATTTTCTTTTGGGGTCTATCCTTCCTGGGGTCCATTTAGCTTCTTGAATGCTTATCTTCTTGCCTTTCAGGATGTTAGGAAATTTTTCTTCCAACAGTTCTTCTACTATCTCCTGTGTGGTCTTCTGTTATCCTTCTTGTTCTAGTAGTCCAATACCCTCAGGTTATTCCTCTTCATGTTGTCCCACATGAATCTTGCACTTTCTTCAGATTTTTGTATTATTTTTTTCTGTTTTCTCTTCTAAGTAGTATTGAGAGATTTGTCTTCCAGCTCACTGGTTCTGGATTCCATCTCTTCAATTCTACTCCTTTGCCCTTTTAGTGTATTGTCCATTTCTGATATTTTATTATTAATCGTTTGGACCTCTTTTTGCAGGTTTTGAATTGTTTCCAATGCTATTTCTATCTTATTTGATTGCTCCTGTAGCACTTTCCTGAATTCTTCTTTATTTTTCGCAACCCCTTTATGGAGCATTTGGATGTACCTGCCCTCCTTCTAATGGGAAGTCTATCTAGGTCTATCTTTAGGTCATTTATTTCAGCTACTCTACCTTGTTTTTGGATATGACCTGAGATCTTCTATAATTTTTTTGGGCATTTTCAATAATTAGATGTATTTTCAGGAAATAGATGAATGTATGTTGGTGTATTACTAAGCTTTCTGATTGTCTCCTGGTAGATGTGATCAGGAGATGAACTTCCCTTTTCACTTCTCGTATTACTCAACTCTGAGTAATTTTAGCAAGTGTTGGCTATCTATCTGGTATATATCAGCTGGTACTGACTCTTGCCCAGATGGTGGGATTTCATAGGGTGTGATTGTAGCTTGGCTAAATGACTGCAATTGTTGTCTCTTCTTGGGTAACGTAGGGAGAAAAAGCGCCCCTTCCCCCCAAGGTGAAAGTGGGACAATAATAAAAAAAAAGAACAGGGCACCAAAGTTTATAATTGTCACAAAATCAAAAGCAAATCAAAGCATAGCAAAATATGGGTAAGACTTTTACACCCCTTTTTTGACCTCTTGCTTTCAAGGCTGCCTGAGAAGTTTCAGGATGTTATCGTTACTTCTTATGACATAACTCAAGATTTGGTTTTTAACCTTTCTCCCACTCTTCAGGCTCTTTCAGGTGTTTATCCTAGTAAAAAACAGCCCAGGGCTGGTCATAGCTGTTTTTGGAAAATCCTCCCTCTTCTTTGATTATGTGCCCAATGGTCTTTGCTGAGCAGATCTGTGTACATGTGTAGTTGAACCCTCCAGGAGCTGGTGGGGGGGTGAGGAGGGGGTGCACTTACTCTAGTTACCAGAGTGGAGATGTGCAGACAGAGCGAGACAAATAACCAGAAAAAAACAAAATGTTCACACTTTTATCTCTGAGGACTAGCCAGACCCTTGCAATGGGAGCACTCCCTTTGTTTCTGACAATGAATGTGATGCCATTCATCTTCAGTTTGTTCTTTCCAGTATAATAAACCACTAAGTTATCTGTGTTCAAAATGGCCAATACCAGCTCATTTCAACTCACTAATGTCTAGGATGTTGATCTTTGTGTGTTCCTTTTTATTTTTGATGACTTTGGAATTTCCTAGATTCATAATTTAGTATATTCCCTGTTTTGATTATTAATGGATGTCTGCAGCTGTCTCTTCCCATTTTGAGTTGTGCCACATCAGTAAATGAAGTTCCCTAAAGCTAACTTCATCCACATCATTAAGGTCAACTCTACTGACGTGGCAGCTCTTCCTCAATCATAGTTTGAGTACCTTTCAACTTGAGAGGTTGATCTTCTGGCACTGCATCTAAAAAAGTTCAGTGGCTTTCAAAAGGCTTTCAATTGATAACCATTCAAAAGCGGTCCACCTCTCCCTTTTCCTAGTCTGTCTTAGCCTGGAAGCTCCGCTGAAACCTGCCTACCCTGCTGATATTTAAAATATGAGTTGCATACCTTCCCACATCACAGCAACATAAGCTACCACAGTATGACAAACTGACAGACCACCGTAGTGCATCACTGGTGATGGTGGTGGTTGTGTGTGGTAGAGTCAGTTCAGATTAGTAGCAACCCTGTATAGGATTTCTAAGGCTATAAATCTTTATAGGTGTAGAAAGCCTCATCTTTTCTCTTGCATAGCAGCTGGCAGATTCAAATTGCTGACCTTGTGGTTGTAGCACAACTTGTAATCCACTACACTATCAGGGCTTCTTGAGTGCATTATTGTTGTTGTTGTTAAGTATCGTGGAGTTGATTCTGACTCACAGTGACCCTGCACAAGGTCTCCGAGGTTGCAAATCTTTACAGGAGCAGAAAGCCTCATCTTTCTCCCAAGGAGCAGTTGGTAGTTTTGAACTGCCAACCTTGAAGTTAGCAGCCCGATTTGTAACCAGTACACTACCAGAGCTCCTTTAGTGTATTATTAGTGGAAAAAAAATTAGTTTTCCTTTTGATTTACTTGTTTTATCTGAATTTGTCATACATCAAAATACATAAACTGAAGACTATAAATTCTGAGGGTTGCAGAATGTTTAAATTTCAGCTGTTAACTGAAAAATCGGTAGTTTGAACCTACCAGCTATTACACAGGAGAAAATACCTGGTTATCTGGCTTCAGTAAAGATTACAACCTAGGAAGCTTTATGGTGGCAGTTCTGTTCTGCCACATATAGTCACTAAGAGTCAAAATCAACTCAATGACACACTACAACAACAAATCTGTTAATACTCGAAATGAATTCCCAAGGGATCTCAGATGCTAAAAAGCAGCCAATTAGGGTAAATTACAAATAGTTTATAGCAAGGCTGCTATTTATTAACAAACAAAAAGAGCAAGGATGGTATTTATTATGGGTATCTTTAGGTGTGAGAAGCTTGGTGATGCAGTGGTTAAAGGTTGGTGGTTTGAACCCACCAGCTACTACGCAGACAAAGAATGCGACACTATGCTTCCTTAAAGTTACTCTACAGCGCAGTTCTATTCAGTTCTATAGAACTGACACAATAGCAATGAGTGTTTTGGATTTTTAGGTGCTGCCCTATATTAAAGGATGGGGTAAAATTAAGGAATCATCTATATTTCATGATTAAGATATCTATCTTACCTATCACAGAAAGGTGTTTTTTTCTTTCTGCTCCAAATACTGTGTTATCTAAATCTTCTAGTGATGGCAATGGTTCTAAGTTAGCAGCCTGCAAAGGAAAAAGGATAGTTAATGCTATACTTCCCCTCAGAGCTTTATACAGAATCCTCTCCCTTATATCAAATATAATCTAGTTAGTCTACATTGTTTATAGGTTTAACAAAATCTTCTATTCTTTTAAATTTTAATTAATGTAATTCTTCTTATTTATTCAGTTTCTATCATTTCATATGTACAAGATACTATACTTATTTGCATTTTTGACTATGTGCTTCTGAGAACCAAAGATGTTAAACTATAGCAATTATAGTAAGTAAGTTGACAATTTAATCACATTGAAAATATAAACAAAAATTACAAACAGTAATTATTTTTCAGGCAGGCATGGATCCTAAAATCCTTACTGATAAAAATATTCCAATTCTTACCTGTGGACTTCCATTTATTACAAGTAGTAGCTTGAGGCTCTTCATATGAATACTACGATCTAGCAGTTCCACAGCTTTGTCTAGGTCATCTTGAGTAGTTAATGGAATTACCAACTAAACAAAACAGGGACATAAAGAGTCACACAACATCTTACCAGGTCAAGTTTTTCCAGAAGTATCTTCATTACTAGGTAATTACAAATCTCAAAACAATTTGCTCTTCATTACTAGCCTGGAAGTTTGAATAAAGATAATACATATCTAGATTCTTATATATATCCTACCATCACTAAAATCACAGACTGTAAGTATTTTATAATTTGGTTTATTCATCATAAAAGTCTTTTAGAAAATATAACTAAAGATTAATTTTCTAGGATATTTACATCATGTGACTAAACTTTACACAGTATTCAATCCAAAATAGCACTAAGAGTAAACACAAATTTAACATAAAACGGATGAAACTTTTAGTTCTTTTTCCAATAGTAACCACAATTCTCACTCTCTCACCTGATGTGGGTATCAACAAGCCAATATCATGAGCATCTGTGACAACTGCCATGGAGGGGTACCACTAGTATTTTACCTGCAGTCTATAGCTCACCTGGTGCTCTTATCTCTGACCCTGGTGACTTGAACATTCACTCTAAAACAAATAAGCTAAACATCAAAATCTGCTTTCATTAGCCATCTAAGGGAAAAGATAAAAGTACCTCAGACCATTATCAGGTAAACTGTGGCTCACGTAATTTTACAAAATAAAAATATCATATGTCAACTTAGTAGCTTAAGATGACTCAATGAATGACTATATGAATATCTGCAAAGTATATTCCACTTCATCAAAAGAAGGATAAAATAAAAAATAGCAAACATATTTCACACTCATTAACCTGTTCTATGAGAAATTTTTCTATCAGGAAAACAATATTAACTCTTTGTTAGAAGAGAACAAATATGATCCACTTTAATACATATACCTTTCATTTTGCTACCAACTATAAATCATATTGGTACACCTTGCTCTTCTCCAAAAATTTTTTCATTATATTGTAAGTGCTGGAAATGGCAAAGATTGTTTAGTCAATTTTTCACTGAAAGGGAAAATCTGATGCTTACTTTTACTACACTGACGTTGAGTCAATTCCAACTCACACGGATCCTATACGATCAGAGTAAAACTGATCTCTACAATTTCCAAGGCTGTAATCTTTAGAAACTGCAACTTTTCAGCTATTGGTCCAACTTTTAACCCAATGCACTACCCTTATCACTTTGTTCAGGGATATTAATTGTTTAGAACACTGATTTTTACCAAACATTTTTTTCAGCACTGAGTTGTAAATGGTTTCTTTAGATAAGCAATGTTAGCATTTTTTTCTCATCTACATTAACATTACTTTAAAATCTCTTATTTTCAAATATTTTTATTTTCAAAGCACTTTTACATGCTATTTTGCATTGATTTTTACTAAGATCCCCACTGTTACTCCATCCCCACTGGTAGTTTTTCTATTCCTGAAACACACAAGTCTTTCTGATCTTAGAATCTTTCCATGCTATTTTCACCATCAGGAATGCCCTTCCTCTGAAATTTTTTCCAATGTTGGTATCTCATGCTGTAAGTCTCAATATAAACATCACCACTTCTTCAGTTAGCTCTTCCTTGTTAGCTGTCGTTGAATTGATTCTGACTTCTGGTGATCCTACGTGCATAGAGTAGAATTTCTCTACAGGGGTTTCAAGGCTATGATTTATCAGAAGCAGATCACCAGACCTGTCTTCCAAGGCACATGCCTCTGGAAGGGGTTCAAACTGCCAACTTTTCAAACGTTTAGTAGGACACCTACAGCTCTAGCCTTTATACTTTCACAATATTTTCTGCATCTCCTTCAAATAACTTCATACTTTAAAACAAGTTATTTATTAATTGTCTGCTTCTATCACAAGTCTATTAACTCCACAAAGGACTGCCAACTCATAAGTCACAGGATAAGCCTGGTCTAATGATATTCAATAAATGTGTTCCAAAAATAATTAATAGACAAGTTAAACTGTTCCTGTAAAATTTAAGATCTTAAGAACTGAAAGAAACATCAGAAATCATCTAATCTAACCCAGATTACAAAGAAGATAAAACAAACAAACAAAAATGGGTTTCACCAGAACCCAGAGGTCATTAATGCCAAAGTAAGGCCTCAGGATCAGATGTACTGATTCCCAAGCAAAGATTTTTCTGTATTAGAAAATTAAACATGTCAACCTAATCATGTCTTGGTGTGGCACTGTTGATTAATGCACTGGATTTCAATGTCAGTTTGGACTCCAAGGTTGATGGTTCAAGCTCACCAGGTGCTCCTCGGAAACCCTATACAAGGTCGTTGTGAGTTGGAACTGACTCAAAGGCACTTAACAACAACAACAACAACAAAGCTCTACTGTCTTTTAGTGAAGTTTAAAGTAAGAGAGGAAAAGACAGTTTATCAATAAATACACCAAAGTTTTCTTTCTGAGACTGTACGTATATTGTCACCTAGAATTGCAAATTATAAATTCTCTGGATGATTTTAGGGTAACTTAACTAGTAAAGCATATAGAACAAAAACATGAATAAGTAGCCAATTTCCAAGTTTTACATATGCTTCCTCCTATAATAGTTCTTCATTCAATTATTTGCACAGTAGAAATTTATATTTTCCACAATGGTAAATTCTACATTGTTGTTGTTAAGTGCCGTTGAGTTGGTTCCAACTCTTACTGACCCTGTATAGGGATTCCGAGGAGAAGCTGGTGGGTTGAACTGCTGATCTTGTGGTTCACAGTCCAGTGCTAATCTTACAGCACCACACCAGGAGTCCCTAAACTCCACATTAAATTGGTAAATTTATGCTATACTTTTTTTGTCTAGCATACTTTTGTTAATTCCCCCAAAAGGCACAGCATTTCCAAAACAAATCTCTTAAATGTACACTCTATTTTCTAAAATCATAACTATTAAAAGGTAATGTAGGAACAAACAAGATGGCGGATCGGGTGGATGTACAGCAGAGAGCTCCGCCAACAACAACACAGAATACCTGACCAAGCAGGCTCAGAGGCTGGTCCCAGAACTCTGAACCGCATATAAAGGAATACTTAGAAGGTTGGAA